AATAAAATTAAAGAACCTTGTTGGTTAACTTTCAAGTATCGTTTCTTACATTATTTATTAACCCAAGTTCACAAAGTTTTGCTCATTCAAAAACCTGATAGAATGACATTGATAAAACCTAATCATTTTACAGCTTTTTCAAAAATCTTTCTTTTATTAACTTAAACAAAATCACCTGGTTACGGAAAAAATACCTAAAATAAAACCATATTATATCGCCGAAATAATCTCTTTGAAGTGGGCAAATACCATCATAATTGCAATCCTCAATATCTAAAATCAGCTGTTTATCTATATTCCGAGTTATAAAATTTATAACTTGAATCTTATGTAGTTGGTACCGTCATAAAAGCTCTTTACCTTTGACAACAATATTCCAAACGGCCCTATTGACTTCGAAAACAAGTTGTAAATAGTGAAAGTCTCAAAAAGTAAACAGATGTTAATATGAATGGAAATATATGACTTCATTCACGAGGATTTCGAAGTGATTGTACATAAAAATTTAAAAATATTTAAATTAAGGTTCTATGCCATTATTTATTACTATTTATTTAATTCCAAACATGCCTTGATACATGAAATTTTACATACAATTATAATTCACTTATATCAAGCAGAAGAATAATAAAGATTATATCTAAATCGGGGATCATAGAAGAGAGACACGTGATTTTACTTTTATATTCATAATCATAATCACTATATCGCGAAATATTTTCTCTAAGTCTGGCAACGTGGTTTAATCGGGCACGGTGGTGTAGCGGTCTATCGCGCTTATATTCATTTATAGGCAAGTTTATGGGTCTGAGACTGCTGGGTTTCGAATCCCAGACCAGACCATGTGGATTTTTAATTAAATTGCATGGTTCGGTTTAGGATTTGATGTGTGGCGTATTAATAGAAATTCAATTTCTGTTGATATGACATGCAGATTAAAAAAATTCGCCATACATTACCGTCTCGATGATGGTGGGTGAGGTTTTCCGGGTTTTCCTCACCTGTAAGTCAAATGGCACCATCAATCATCTTTAAGTCGCCCCGGAGCGCCACGGCAAATAATAATAATAGCCGTCCCTTTCCCCGGACAAGCTCAGCTTTTGGGGTTAAAATTCACTCGTAAGGGGGTGAATTAGGGAGAGTATTATTATTATTATTATTATTATTATTATTATTATTATTATTATTATTATTATTATTATTATTAAATCCTAACCTCGTTTACGATTGCGAGATTATTTTGATTTATTTTAAAATTGTTATTTAATTTTTTAAAAATGGCCAAAGTACAAACAGGATTAAAAGAAAAATCTTTAGACAACTATCCTTAAATGGATTCTAACATGATTAATGTTTTTTTTTATATAAATAATATAAAGTTTGTTGGCTCTTAAATTCGCAACGTAAGTACACTTTCTAAGCTCCAAATCTTTCTAGAATTATTGTATTCAAAGAGATTTGTATTTAAGAAAGAAACATTTTTTTATTATACAAACTCACTACTACTACTATAGGTCTACCAAGGAAGTACCAGAACACAAAAAGTTTATAGCGTTATTCAGAATATTCTACTTTCGAAGGTAATTTCAATTCCTGTCAATATTAAGAAGCTCAAAATAAAGTATTAAATGGTTTTATATGGTTCTATTTTTTTAAGGTGGGTGCAAACAAAGTGTTGCTTTTTTGTTATGACTTCTGAACACCATTGAAGTGAATAACCTTCCATCACATCAACATTGTGTTATTAGAAAAGGCCACTGTTGTCAAAAGTTTGAAGTCCTAATGATTTGAGGGTGTCGATTCTTTTTCGAATTAAAAACATTAAATGTGTGCTTTTTATAAATTATAAGAGTGAAATCCTTTAAACTTGTATAGCTGATACTTTTCTACTATTGGTTAGCCTTCTATTTCTTACAAACAATACACAGTCACCACAGGCCACTCACATCTACCGGCACTGGTTTAATAACGAACTAGTATGACATAAAAAAAATTTTATATGTTGCATGTATTTCCAATTATATAGTCTGGTAAATTGAGATTTCCTGTTGAAAAATAAAGCGTTATTTTTATTATAAACTAGCGGACCCGACAAACGTTGTCCGGTCTTAACTATGAATATTGATTTCGAATTCGTATAATTAACTAAAAAAATATTTCAGAAACAGTATTTATTATTCTAATGTTTTATGATATACAACATTCTTTGTTTTTTCTGGACAATAACAAACACAACTAAAAAAGAATTAGCGAAATCGGTCCAGCCGTTCACGCGTGATGCCGTGACCAAGGGAAATAGGGATTCATTTTTATATAAATAGAAATTTTCTAATTTTCCACGCAATTTTTTTAATTTTTTCTTTCATAAGAACCTTCTCCTGACAATAACAAACCATCCTTGGACTTCAACGAACATTAAAAAAAAAGAATTGGTAAAGTTGGTCCAGGCGTTGTTGAGTTATGCGCTTACCAACACATTTTGCGATTAATTTTTATATTATAGAGATATGCAAGCTGTTATTAAACCCCTAAATCCTCCCCAGTCACGGCATTGCCAACATCATTTGTGAGAGCGTAGGAGTACGCATTAAAAGATCAACGTGAGAACTGAAAAGTGCAAAACGAGAAACGAAATCTACGACTTCATTATCATTATATGCGGGGTTGTTTGTTCAGCTTCAATTATGTAGTAAACACGGGTTGTCGTGTGCTCCACGCACATTCAAACGTTCCATTGAAAAATAAATAATACACTTTGGGGCACTTATAAGGTGAGAATGAGGGTAGCGTGCAGTTAATTGCTGATTAGATGGCTGCCACCAATAATTGAGTGGTTTCTAAAGTCATAATAAATAATTTAATCTGGACAGATATACTAGCAGAGGGTTATTGTAGTTAGATTTTAGTCAATTGATTTTATTCTCAGGGAGTTCAAAGGATTATGCTGGAGACTTTTTCGCAAACAAATAAACAAATTTAAAGCTCACATGTAAGAAAAAATTTGAATTATAATTGATACAAATTAAAATATAAACAGTGAATACGGAAACCAATGTTGCCAACAAAATTTATAAATGAACTGATTTAAAAAAAAATCAATAATATAAATCGGTTTTATAAAAAATGCTTAAATAAATATAAAATATGATTACATATTGCTAGATACAAATTTTTCTATTTAAAAAGGTTCCTTCCTCACCTCCATCGCCACACTTACGATTTTAGTTTTAATACTCGTAATTAAATTAGTTTCATATAGTTTTATTTGCAAATGTGGACGAAATAAATGTAAAACTATTTATCGATTCTACACAAGAATAATTCTTTTTTACGTATAGTTAAAATCTCAATAACTAAAAAATATACAGACAATTAGTTTGACAGAATTATTACTTATATAAAATTTAAAAAATAATAGTAGCTGGGTGACCAAAATATGAACTGTGATTGGTGGATTAAATTTTTTTTGCAGTATTCTGGATATGAAATATATTCGTTCGTAGATAAGCCTTTATCCAAAATAAACCAAGGAAGTACAGAGCACTATACTCGGACAAAATATTGAAGAAGGTGATTCCTCCCTGTTCACGTACAACAATCATACATAGTTTACAGAAGGTATCAATATTTACTTTTTTTCTGCTTTGAAAAGTCGTGTATATAGACTTTTGCTATAAAAACTTTGCTATCATGCATTTTCAAACAAACTATAGCCTGGTAATCAAATATGGACTGTTTTTGGTATATTTCATATCCCTGCTGTGTTCTTAATACCTGCAATGGATATGAAGTATACCCGTTCAGTGGAACGCAATTGCCAACTTTTTTATTATTTACTTCGTTGCTCATGCTTCTAAATGCCCTATTATTTTCTGAATTATTTTTTTTGAGTAACAAACTTAATTAAAATACAAAACTGTAATTAAGTACTTACCATTATTTGAGACATAAAACAGTAAATATACTATTAAAATTTTGAATGTAATTAACAAAATTAACAATTTCAATAATTATTATAATGAAAGATGTAGTTATTGAAAATTTTATGAGCCTCAGTACTCATTATATTTGTTATTACTTCTTAGTTGAGTGTTTCACGTGGATATAAGTTAACATTTTTGTAAATATAAACTTAGATTTTTCATAGAAAGTTTATTAAATAATTAACAAGTAAACACAAATAATCCCACACTTTTCTAGCTTTGAAGATCTTAGGTTCCCGTGTTATGCAGTTACATATTAAAAAAATACGCAAGCAGTATATTAATAATACTGTAATGCATAATTTATTCGAAAATTCCAGTAAATAAGTTATCTGACGCCCCTGATAAGTTTAGTAACCGACAAATATTTGCAATGTAAGATAGAGTTTGATAAACACATTCTGATATCGTCTATGTGTATACGTTTTATTCTCATGTTTCATTTAAAAGGCTGAACGTACTAATCACATCGTCGCCATTTTTAAAAACCACATTGACAGATTCAAAATCTAGAACTTGCGAACAGGACTGTTTTTAGGAGAGTTTTAAAGTGTATCTAATTTTTTTAAGATTGGTTTTAGAAAATTGATATAAAATTTACTTCTATATACGTAGTAAATACGAAGGATTTATATTGTGTATGTTGTCAGTGTTTGCCTCTTAAGTTTGATCTAAAAGAAAACTTATTTCCCTTTTTTAAAACTTTGACCCCTAAAACTACACTACACACGTTATCTAAAAATAGAACATATTTTCTACTCGATTAGGCATTTTGCCTGTCATTTTCTGACCTCAAAACGACAAATATCCGTAATGCACAACAGGAAAGAATTTAAAATCTCAGTCTTTGTAAATAATCTATTCTAAAAACACCCATTGGTCTGGACAGCCATTTTTGATTAATATAATTCTAAACTGTAAGTGTCTGATGACATTTCTATGTCAGACCACCGCTGGTTATTATTCAAAAGAGACTTGATATTGCCGACATCCATGTTATATCGGAACCCCAGGAAGATGGACAGTGCAACCTATAATCACCTTCTCCAAGAGGTTGTGAAAGAGGTGGAGGTCGATAAGTCTTATATAATGAAAATATTAATTAAGAGATTGAATATATCACAGTTCGAAATTCCTTTTATTGACCATAATACTTTTTCTTTGGAATGAAAGCATTAGTTCCTGTTTTTCAGTTAAGTTCCATAAATCAATTCATATTTTAATCTGAACGAAACTCAAGCGCAGTAAAGTTGCAATAATTAAACAATATAATGAACTTTTAAAATGAAATTAAATTTATATTTAGAATTAAATAAGTTAGCTAAAATTTTTGAGCGTATAAATTTATTAAAGTTATAAATAATTACGTTACAAAGATTCATATTTGTGAATTTTCAATTTCTATTGATGTGATAGTTACTCATCTACGTTTTACAATATCAATACATGTCTTGGCTTTGGCGCAAAACCCTTTGTAGTAAAACTACTAATCCGAATCAGAATATTGATATTATTATTTGTTAACTTAAAAAATGTGGTCCACTAGTCAAAATATTTGGTATCATAATTATATTTCATCAATTGCCACTGCCACTGGCAACACTTAAATTAATAAACATATTCCAAATAATTTAAGATTCCTTGAGTCATATTAATAAGAATTAAAATTTCACACCATTTTTTTGGTATTCTGTCCCGTACTTCCATATCTCTAATAGCTCTGATGTCAACTAGTTCTGGTAAGACGTATTGCATATAAATAATTTTAATTTTATTTTTCAACCTTTTCTCCCAAAAGCTGTCATTATGAGGAATTTTCTTTACTTTTATTCCTCGAGGAGTCCAAACGCACAAAATGCAAAACTTAATATGTATAATGTGCAGCTAGCCCTGAATTTGAAAATACCAATTGTGGTTCTCCTTAATGGTATTGTCCTTTTCCCAAAAAGTTATCTACTGCATATTCTACAATCAGCCATCTAGCTCCATATGGACATTTTAACTCTATCATAGAGTTTTGTTTTTTGTTTTAAACTCCATGCGGTCTGGCAGCAACATAATCAAATTCGGAATCAATAACAGGTCCACATTTAAAAACTTTTTTTACAAATAAATTTCCAAATCTTATTTTGCTCTTCAGATGAGCATAAATTTAACCTTTATCTACACGCACATATTTTTTTCTTTCAAAATAAGTCAAAAATAAACTTTAAAAGTGGGGTACTACGAAACCCTTGCATGCTCTAAATACTCCTCTTACTCATTGGATTTAAAAATGATTACTCTTATTCATTTTTCACACTCACATCCCGCTGTAAGACAAGAGGTCCTCATATTTCTCTCCAACCCATTATTGTTATTAAATTGAGATAATACATTTGAGCTTAGACCGGATCTGTATGTGTATATCGAGTGTGTCGTAAAAATATTGTTTATAAACCAATAGGTACTACGAAATGATAAGAAAGTACTTAGGAGTGGATTTTAAACTTTAAATACTCCCATAGGAATTGCTCCATGCGCTTCAATGATTAGAATGTTTATTCTAAGAAAAGGAAAGACGTTATTTGATACAAAAATTAATTTAATTAATATAGTCAATCACTATGGGATGATTTTGAATCCCTAAAGGAACAGATATGAGTGACAAAATAACAGAAAAAATAAACTTGGAACATGTGGCGATGATTCATAACAACTGAACATTAGACATGTTATTTTATGTTATTTTATTAAGGTATATGAGTAACCGATACTGTTTGTTTATTTAACATATATCTAACATTTTAACCCTTATACTTCAACCATGTGGCAATTTTAAGCCATTCCTTTTTTTGTTCGTCGCCCTGTTTTAAGTAGCTGCATATTTTTATGCTACAAAGGTAATTCAAGCAAACATTTTTTTTTTAAATTAATTTTCATTACATATTACATTTTTTTAATTAACTTTTGGTCCATTTAAATTTTAATACATTTAATATTATTAAATTACGTTTGTTTTTCAATATAAGAGTACATCATAGAGTCTATAAAACATCTAGAAAACAAAAAAGGAGGTGCAAAAGTACCCTGCTCGATATCAAACGTTTGAAAAAAATATTGGTAGTATAGTCTGTTGCAATTTATAATAGAAATTCGTCTCGTTTTAAACATGAATGAAGGTTGTGTGTTAGCCGGAACAGGGACGGTGTTCCCAAATGAACTTTAAAAATTAATGTTTTCTGTTTGGGGAACAAACATGATAATATTAATATTTCATAAGAATGTTTGTAATATTTTTTACTTTTCCTAAAATTATATACGAGGGTTAAGCAAAAAAAGCAGTTTCCCGTAATAATTTCACATTTTTTTTTAGTGATTTTAAATACCGATTTTCTTAACACTGCCGTGTCGGTTATATTCACCGGCAGCAATAACTTCAGTCTCACAGTACCGGTCATATGAGCTGGCAGCCCATTATCATATTTTCTTATAGCAAATATTTAACACGTAGCAAATTGGGTTGAATTCCAAATAGGTTCTAGCGAATCGGCCATATTGAGTCTACGTAAGCCACGCCCAGTGATACCGTTTTGAATGTTTGAAAAATATGCTTATGACGTCTCCCTACCTTCTAACAAAAAATGTATTTGATTATGCCATACTTCTATTAGATTGTGAATGTTTTTTGGCCTGAACACTCAACATTAGTGCGTTTGCTAGCGAATTATCAGATCAGCTAAAAGCGGCATGTGGATAAATTCATGTAAGCATATAAATTTTATATTTCGTGTTAATTTTTACTTGTAAGCGTTTAGAATGTTCTCAGAATATGAGGTACATGCTGGGTATATGAGTATCTTCTAAGAATGTCTTGTTAAAGCACGTGCTCAGTATATACATTTTAAGACATACTTAAATGCATATTCTAAGAACATTATAAGGACATATCTACCAAAAAGAACATAAAAAAAATGTTCTTAGTATGTTCATAGATCATTGATCTTACATGGGTTGTTAATGAAAATCAACTGAAACACAATCAAATTAACAAATTTCAACTAACAGGGTAATTTTATAGAGAGCAGTATTACATTTTTTAATAAACTATTATTTAGGAAGGTATAAACATTCCTGACCTATCAGAAAAAATGGCAGCAAACCATTTAACGCCTCTTTAATGTTACAGAGAATTCCGGCGGACATGAGCTAGCAAAATCAATATCCCAATTCCATTAGATCGAAATTTGAGAAATAATCGAATCCACTTTAGCCCGATGGGATTTTTCTTTCGGAATGTCTTGCCGACTGGCCTATAAAATACGTTGACCCTCTTCCAAGAACACAGGTATAAACAAAGACATGCGGGGAGCGTACAATTGCACCGAATTAGTCATAAAAGTATGTCTATAGTTTGTTAAAATAAGGGCCAATGTATGTTTTACAAGTTCCAATTAGCCGATAATATTGTGGTTATTACTCTTACTCAACAGTTCTTTCTTGCGATGAGGATTCTTTAGCCCAAAACACTCACTTTCATCATATTTAACTAAGCACAAACAATATGTTCGTTATAATGGATTTAATTCTAATTACTTTATTTCAACTAGTGAAGTTCCTCATGGGTCCAATTTGGGGCCACTATTGTTCTTAAAATTCATTAACGATTTGTGTGACTCGCTTAAATGCAATAGGTTAATGTTTGCAGATGACTAGATCAAATTAACCTATTGCAGGAATGGGGTCAATATTTTTAAATGTAAAATTGTGACTTATAGCCGCAAACATATTTCTCTGAATTTTCTTTATTCCATTAATAATATTATTTTGAAAATAACAGACTCTATTAAAGATTTGGGTGTTCACTTTGATTATCAAGTTACTTCTAACTACCACATTAACTCTATTATGAATTCAGCGTACCGTGCATATGCTTTTATAATCCGGAATTGTAAGAATTTCAATAGTCTCTTGGCATTAATTTCCTATATTTTAGCTTAGTTAGAACAAAATTAGAATATTCATCAATAATATGGCATTTATATACATTCATTATTCAGACATTATTGAGAAAATTCAAAAGAAATTCTTAAAATTCTTAATTTGATTTTGTTCCCGCAAGAGGTTATGTTAGTAATATCGAGGACTGAGGGTTAGACCCATAGCTTTGTGAAATTTACTTGTAGCATAATGAATAATGTTCAATAATTATTATAGAAGAGGTATATTATTAACAAATTGCGCAAGAAACTAGTTTCTGGTTTCATAAGTCATTTATTCCACTCGTCCTTTAAAACTTGAACTCTTGCAATAAAACGTATCGTATGAAATTAATTCTCTAATGTAAGTACTAAAGTTTGATTGCTAGCAAACTAAAAAATTATATACAGGGATGGAGTTACAACTGCATACTACATCTAACGAGTGCATTTGATCCATTCCCGCACTCGCTTTATGAGACCTAATCGGCAATGCACTGTACGGCCGATTTGCCGCCCATTGTTACTACTGCTTGTGCTAACAGCCATTTTATCGCAGCCCGAATATTGTTTTACCTGAAAAAATGAATATTTGCACGTACTGCCTATGACCACCGTGCTTTTCTCTAATAAAATCCATAGGAATTAAGTTTCAAACGTGTTTCAATCACTTACATATTCTCCAAGGAATTTGCGTTTCAGTTAACTAACGTGTATGTTCGGTTAATAGTTGTGTGGATAGAAAGTGGTTTTAAAAAGGGAAAAAATACACTTGGGTGGAGGATTTTTACTCTTGTGTCATCTGTGTTATAAAGCAAACTTTTTTATCTAGCATCATTGTCTAGTAAAATGCTGGACAGTATTTACTTCTGTCTTGTAAAAGAGATGGATTATCGACTATTATCATGGAAGTAGACGCTGTCACGTGGTCTAATACGGGTCAACTTTCCCCTTTAAAGACTAGAGATAAGGTTTTACATCACATACTTTGATTATCTCTTAATATACGGAGAATGGTCGCACTGCACAGCTTTCTGAGTGCCTTTTAAAAGGAGATAGAAAACTCCGCCATTTTGATGCCTTATTACGTGTTGCCTACATCTTGGCACAATTGCTGCTGTCAGTAGAACCCTATGACACAGTTTATAGCTAAAGAATCAGATCGCTCACTCTGCGTCGGCACTTTTTATCTCAATGTTCCAGTTTATACACTGCGCAACTCAGATAATACAATATATGACAACCGCCTATAATAAAACAGCAGTCTTCTGCGCATCCTGAATTTGTATCCCTGGAATGGATGTAATTTTGGAACTTTCAACTGGTCCGAGTGAGCTAACTGATTCTTTAGCCGTATAGTAAAAGAAAATCAAAGTATGTGCCGTATAGTTAAAGAAAATCAAAGTATGTGCCGCACCCACATACTTTGATTTTCTTTTACTATACGGAGAATGGTCGCACTGCGCAGCTTTCTGAGTGCCTTTTAAAAGGAGATAGAAAACTCCGCCATTTTGAACCCTTATTACGTGTTGCCTACATCTTGGCGCAATATTTTTAATAGGTGCGTTTTAATAATCCGCTTCTGCTTCGGAATTGTCGGTTTTCTTGTTTTAATTTAACAGGTTAAAACGACTAAACCGGAAGCAGAAGCGGATGATTAAAACGCACCTGATATTTTGCTTGCTGCTGTCAGTGTCAGTGAATATTATTTTTGAAGTCACAGTTTATTGCTAAAGAATCAGTTAGCTCACTCGGACCAGTTAAAATTTCCAAAATAACATCCACTCCAGGGATACAAATTCAGGATACGCAGAAGACTGCTGTTTTATTATAGGCGGTTGTTATATATTATATTATCCTAGTTGCACAGTGTATAAATTGAAACATTGAGATCAAAAGTGCCGACGCAGAGTGAGCGATCTGATTCTTTAGCTGTAAACTGTGTCACAGGGTTCAAAATGGCCGCGCCCTATGTTGGGCGTGTCGGACCTCTCTCTTGCCTCGTATAGTAATCAAAGTATGTGGACTAAACCGACAATTCCAAAAGCAGAAGCGGATGATTAAAACGCAGCTGATATTTTGCTTGCTGCTGTCAGTGTCAGTGAATATTATTTTTGAAGTCACAGTTTATTGTTTAAGAATCAGTTAGCTCACTCGGACCAGTTGAAAGTTCCAAAATAACATCCACTCCAGGGATACAAATTCAGGATACGCAGAAGACTGCTGTTTGAATATAGGCGGTTGTCATAATTGTATTATTCGAGTGGCGCAGTGTATAAACTGGAACATTGAGATCAAAAGTGCCGACGCAGAGTGAGCGATCTGATTCTTTATCTATAAACTGTTGCATAGGGTTCAAAATGGCCGCGCTCTATGTTGGGAGTGTCGGACCTCTCTCTTGCGCCGTATAGTAAAGAAAATCAAAGTATGTGGCCGCACCCTATGTTGGGCTTGTCGGACCTCTCTCTTGCACCGTATAGTAATGAAAGTATGTGCCTCCTTCTCTCTAGTCATCAAAATAATTGTCATTCATCGTGATTCTAGGTTAAGAACCATCAAAATTTTTTAAGAACAACATCATAATAATGAATAACTATATTTTGGGTATCGATCTAGGTACGACATCAGTAAAAGTAACCGTTATCAATGGAGACACAAAAGAATTGGTCGAACATTACACGAAAGATACAAATTGCGAAGTACCGAATAACATTGAAGGTGGGCATGAACAGCACGTACCAACAATTATATCAACCTTGAATATTTGCGTTTCTAAAATCAGCGACTGTCTACGTAAAAGAATATCTAAAATAGGAGTGTGCGGACAGATGCATGGGGTACTGTTTTGGAAAATAGCTAAATGGCAACCGCCTTGGATATTCCAAGGCAAAACCTACAGAATTGATGAGAATTCAGTATCAAGATTGTACACATGGCAAGATTCAAGGTGCGATTCAGGTTTTTTGGCATCTTTGCCTAAACCCGACTCACATTTAGGTATATCGTCAGGCTATGGAATACCGACAACATTTTGGATAAAAAGAAATAGACCAGACTTTTTAAAAAAGTATAACCGTTCTGGACTCATATCAAGTTTCGTTGCAGCTATGCTAACCGATCAAGACACAGTTTATACATCTTATCAAAATGCTGCTAGCTGGGGCTACTTTAATTGCCGGGACTTAGAATGGAATATAAAAATATTAGAAAGGGCTGATTTCCCAATAGAACTACTACCCAGGCTCAGACCTAGCAGAGACATTATAGGAACCTTAAAGAACAATTGGCATAATATACCTGAAGGCATACCAGTTGGAGTAGACTTGGGAGATTTGCAGTGTTCAGTACTTTCTACTATAAACGCGGAACAAGAAGCTGTCATCAACTTTTCCACTTCAGCCCAAATTGCTTATATCGTTAATAATTTCATTCCCCCCAACGGTCCTCCTTTGGTAAATCCAATTTCATACTGGCCTTATTTCGATAATCAGTTTGTTGCAGTAGCACCTTCCCTAAATGGAGGAAACGTATTGACCTTATTCGTTAATATGATAGTCGGTTGGCTGTCCGAATTCGGAGAATCAGTAGACCAAGATGATATTTGGAAGAGACTGATATCTCTCGGATTAGAAGACAAAACGCAATCGAATCTACAAATAAAGCCGACATGTATGGGAGAACGTTTTGACACTAGTTTAACGGCTTCTGTTAGATACGCTACCGGTAACAATGTACCTTTAGGTCACGTTTTTCGAGTACTTTGCACAGGACTTATACAAAACTTAAACGAAATGCTACCCGCGAAAGTTCTAAAAGCTGCTAATATCAAGAGATTAGTAGGTAACGGACAAAGCTTGCAACGCAATATGATTCTCAAGAATGAAATTGAAAGAATTTACCAGCTACCGTTGGTTATTGGAGATGGAGATGCGAGTAAAGGAGCGGCTTTGGCGATGTCTGTAGGTGGTTGTAGATTTACTGATTCTTCGGTATCAGTTTGTCATGCGTGTCCTCTAAATGCCTAGAATAAAGATATACAAAATAATTTTTTTTATGGTAACTAATATTTTTAAAAGAATATTGTTTTTCTGGTACAAGATTAGATTATAATTGGTTAGAATTATGAGCAATGTAGTCTCATCCAACTCTACCTCTTTAGATCTATTGTGAATATCTTTAGATCATTGGTTACAGTACTTTGTCTGCTTTGTTTTTTTTTTTAGCTAGTGTAAATAATTGCCCTTTTTCTCCATGTGCTGGGGAATCCCAGTCTTAATAGACCTTCGCGATAACATACTGCAGTTTCCTCATCTTCCTGGTAGAATTCATGATTTCATATTTCATACTTTGGAAGTTAAGATTGTAGAATATCCTGAACTTTTAGAGGAAAAACAATTTAAGGTTTCCATTATTTATATTCTTAAATTTAATATTTATAGTATTTTTTGTATCTATTGATCACCAAATTCAAATCATTCAGTTTTTTAAACAATTTGGAATCGTTGCCCTATTTTTAATTTATATAAATGATTTAGGTACATTAAACGTCTCAGGAAGTTTCACTCTCTTTGCTGACGATACTACTATCTTGTGGCATAATAAAGACGTCAATATTCTTTATGCAAATATTAGTAATGATCTCAAATCTTTTAAAACTTGGTGCACTGCAAATCTTTTATCAATAAATTAAATAAAAAATAAAAATACTATCCTTTAAATGTAATATTCCTGATATTTTAATTGAGATACTATAAAAGCCACACGGATTTGAAATTCAAATCTCATATTGATCCACTTTTAAAAAAACTCGCATCAGGTTGTTATGCCATTAGAATTACCTCTCATGAATTAGGACTTTGTGCAGAAAAAACTGCATATTATGCGTTAGTTGACTCCCATTTACGTTATGCTGTTTAGTTTTGGGGAATCTCTTCTGCCGAGTTATTTAGTAACATTATACTTGTTATTTTATCTATTTTTTATAGTTATGATTTTGGGGAGTTGGTCAAGTTATTAAATAACTCGTATTACTTTGAAAAAGAATGTTGAGCGCCACTATATTTAAAACTTACCAAACTTGACTATCGATTAGTGATAAAAATATAGAAAATCTCTAACCATTAAGATATTATAATTAAATAAAGTTTTAGATAAGGTAGCAACAAATTCTAATTCACAGAGACTTACTTATTCAAATTTAAATGATTTATTCACAATTGACTTATCTGTGGTACAAGAGGTAGCATATAAGGAGTGACTTGTAGAGACCTTCTTCGAAGGGACTCGAAACGATACTCTTCGGATAGTACAAATCTTCACAAACTTCTTCAGATGGAACTCGAACCAAACCTCTTGACACAACTTAAAATAAACCTCCTTAGATGCAGCTTGAACTAAACTTCTTAATAGAAATCACCATAAACAGTATAGATATATCCTGAATCAATATTCTGAACTATGACTCGAAATGAACTTCTTCTATAACTTCTATAACTTCTATAACTTCTATAACTTCTATAACTTCTATAACTTCTATAACTTCTATAACTTCTATAACTTCTATAACTTCTATAACTTCTATAACTTCTATAACTTCTATAACTTCTATAACTTCTATAACTTCTATAACTTCTATAACTTCTATAACTTCTATAACTTCTATAACTTCTATAACTTCTATAACTTCTATAACTTCTATAACTTCTATAACTTCTATAACTTCTATAACTTCTATAACTTCTATAACTTCTATAACTTCTATAACTTCTATAACTTCTATAACTTCTATAACTTCTATAACTTCTATAACTTCTATAACTTCTATAACTTCTATAACTTCTATAACTTCTATAACTTCTATAACTTCTATAACTTCTATAACTTCTATAACTTCTATAACTTCTATAACTTCTATAACTTCTATAACTTCTATAACTTCTATAACTTCTATAACTTCTATAACTTCTATAACTTCTATAACTTCTATAACTTCTATAACTTCTATAACTTCTATAACTTCTATAACTTCTATAACTTCTATAACTTCTATAACTTCTATAACTTCTATAACTTCTATAACTTCTATAACTTCTATAACTTCTATAACTTCTATAACTTCTATAACTTCTATAACTTCTATAACTTCTATAACTTCTATAACTTCTATAACTTCTATAACTTCTATAACTTCTATAACTTCTATAACTTCTATAACTTCTATAACTTCTATAACTTCTATAACTTCTATAACTTCTATAACTTCTATAACTTCTATAACTTCTATAACTTCTATAACTTCTATAACTTCTATAACTTCTATAACTTCTATAACTTCTATAACTTCTATAACTTCTATAACTTCTATAACTTCTATAACTTCTATAACTTCTATAACTTCTATAACTTCTATAACTTCTATAACTTCTATAACTTCTATAACTTCTATAACTTCTATAACTTCTATAACTTCTATAACTTCTATAACTTCTATAACTTCTATAACTTCTATAACTTCTATACTTCTAAATTCTTTATAATGCAGAAACGGGCAATAAGGTTCTTATGTGGACGTGAATATAAAATTATATTTTATACTAATAGTATTTCATAATCCTCGCCAGTTGCATTTACAGTGTGGGTAGGTATTAATCTATTCATCAGGCTACTAAATAACATTTAAGTATACATTTTCTTTAAAAACTTTTGTTATTTTAAAACATGTAGTGACAGTTATTTTTATTCTTTTTTATTATTATAATATACTAATAGTTTAAATAGATTAATGATGAAACAATCTAAAAATAACACAAAACGACATTCTCGTATTCTATAAAGTTAATCATAAATTTTGATAATAGGAATATATGTTACATAATAGTTATATCAAACCGACATTATTTTTATATACCACAGAGTTTCCTATACACCACAACCTACTTTATATATATTTTTTTTAATTAATATTGTTCCTCTTTTTTAAATAATATTAATACCTATTTAGTTTTTGATACTGCCTTCAAGTTAGCACTACCACTTTGAAATTTTGGATTATTGAAGAATGTGTTGCTTTTTTGTCGTAAATTTGTTGTGAAAAAAAGAAAATTTGTCGCAATTATCTTATTTCGACAGGATAGTTTCTCTAGTTATTAATCTTTTTACTTTTGGTGTGTTCCTCCATACAGAATTGTGGTTATCAACTATAAACCGTTCTTGTTTTTTATCTAACTGATTTTTTGTTTTTAATGTTATGGTCAGTTGAATAGTATTTGTTAAATCCTCTTAAAAACCTTCCTAATTAGTTTTGCGATTTGCTAGAATCAGTTTTGCTTCTTTTTGAAGTAAGGATTACTGCAGAATGGTCTGAATACTTAGCAAAATTTTCTTCTGCTTGTGTATAGTTTGGTGAATTTTTTTTCAGAATAAAGAAATCCAAAAGATCTGGAATCTTGTTTGGTTCGGTGGACCAATAGGTAGATTTTTTAGACGATTAGTATGTACAACCAAGCTCTGATGCAGCTCGGTGCAATTCTTTTCCATTAACTGTGGTTAATCTTGAACCGAAGATGATGTTTTTGGAGTTGTAATCTCCACCGATTATAAATTTGTTACATAGTTTTTTGAGTACATTCAGATAATTTTCTTTTTTCTGGTTGTGTCTTGGTGGACAATAAATTACAGCTATTGTAATTTTGATCCCCTTAGTGTTAATGGTGCTAATGTTTACCTAATTTTCTGGTTCTTGGATGCATTTGATGGGTGGATAATGTGAGAGAATTTGTATTCTCTGAATTTAATGTAAGATTCTGTCGTAAGGTGGGTCTCAGAAATCAGACATATATTTTTTGTACGTCCAAGAAAATTTGCATATCAATTTGTTTTTGGAGGATACCATTGGTATTCCAAATGGCTATTCTAATATCTCTTTTGTCTATTGGAGATTTATTAAAAGTGAAGGTTTCGGATAAATTGATGACTTAAAAAAGAAATATTAGGATTCCACGAACTAATGGGCCATCCTGTATATAGAAATATCCTTTTCGGATAGCTATTCTTGAATTTGAAAAGAAAATTATTGTTTCTTTTTTATCTGTAATATTCAAAACTATAATTTACCATGGTACATCCGGTATAAACGGTCCCTCGTATACCACAACGTAGGAAAATATTTTCTAACAAACTAGACATGATTTTGATTTAAACAAAATACAAAGTCGACAGGCTTCCGGTTAAATGTTCTTATTTTTCTAAAATGCAAGTTTGTTTCAATTAATGAATAATTAAATTTCTTAAAAATTGTTTTGCGTCAATTATTTTAAATTAAATTCCACCGGCGAGCATTACACTCCCAGGTACCAGGTAGGTTCTCTTTTTGAAAGTGTGATCACGTGAGTATTGCGTGGCCTTCCTTAAATAATGTCTTTCCCAGTATTTTTAAGTTAATCATCAAATCGATGGCGCTAAAACGCATTCTTGCAAATGAAATATAATATTAAGTAATGAATTTCAATGCAACAATTTACAAAACCGCATAAATAGTAATAACAATTTCTAATTTTAAATGTATTCGACGAAATTCATACGCAAATAAAAAATTTGTAATTATAATAATTTCGTTTCTGAGTAGAATATAAATATTTATTTATATATCTATTATACCCTTCAGTTATTTAAACTGATTATACCATAAGCTAGCAAGCAGTATAACTCACAAACGTATCTGGTTCGGCACCTACTAATTTGAAATTGACAATTTTGATTAAATAAAACATTCTGACGAACCCTCGTACAATATCATCGTTAAATTGATATATCTACGAATTAATTTTTTAGAGTAACTGTATCATTTAATATTATTTTAAAATGTACAATTTTGTGTTGTAGTTTTTTAAAAAATACATTTTTAATCCATCTTGCGAAATAAATGTATATACACTACCTTTAAAGGAATTCCTGTTAAAAGGCTATTGAAAGCAAACAAAAACCATTTATAAATATATCTGTGAGAACACGTCGAGTACGACAAAATACTCACAGGTTCCTTTCAACCTGCTATAGAATGTTCAGCGTTCAGTGCTTTTTGTAAGACAGGTAAGATTCAAATAAATCATCAAATTCATGCACTTGTATAATAGAAAAGGATGTATGCCTAAGATTCTAGTACTAAAATGATGCCGGATTTTAATGATCCTTGATAAATTGTCATGCCCATGCCGTGGAAGATCCTTTAGGGCTAGTCATCATAATTTTTTATTTTGAGTCTTGTGCGTATATGTTGTGTATTGTAAAATGATAAAAAAACATTTAAAATTAAAATGCTATTAATAGAAAAAGATACATGTTTGGCTCAATGACATTATGTCATTGGTTTGGCTGTAAACCTAGAGACAAGTCACAATATAAAACAGAAGAAGATGAAGGTTATGTAAATATAAAAGACAGATAGATGATGTTCTTATTTTGACAAAAACAGTATTACCAAAGGTTAAGAAAAATGTCAAAATTTCGGACAAAAATTTCACAATATTATAAATGTTTGTTTAATTATGACAAGATATGTACTGGGAATTGATTTAGGTACCACGTCAATTAAAGTATCGATTTTTAATGTAGACACCAAAGAAGTAGTAGATCAATGCACACAAGTTACCAACAGTGACGTCGCTGTAGAAATAGAAGGTGCCCATGAACAATCTGTCCCCAAAATTATAGACGTACTAAACTCGTGTTTAGAGAAAATCAAACCTAATTTTCGTAGAATCATTAGCAAAATCGGAGTGTGCGGTCAAATGCACGGAGTAGTCTTATGGAAAACTGAAAATGGTGATAAACCCTGGAAGTTCATTAACAACGGATACCAAATTGATGAACAGAAAGTCTCGAATTTATATACTTGGCAAGACGGCAGATGTAATCCAAAGTTTTTGCAATCGTTACCCGAACCGGAATCACATCTAGGCATATCTACAGGATTCGGCATCCCCACCATCTTCTGGTTAAAGAAAAATACACCTAAACAACTCAAAAAATATAACCGTTCAGGTTTGATATCCAGTTTTGTAGTAGCAATGTTATGCGATCAAGATCAAGTCTATACATCTTATCAAAACGCTGCTAGCTGGGGATATTTTACCTGCAAGGATTTGCAGTGGAATTTACGTATATTAGAAAAAGCTAACTTCCCCGTAGAATTACTACCAGAAGTCAAATCTAGTGGAGTATTTGTTGGAACTTTATCTCAAAGCTGGTATGGTATACCTGCAGGTATACCGATCGGAGTAGATTTAGGCGATCTTCAATGTTCTGTAATATCTACCATAGAAACACTAGAAGATGCAGTGATAAATGTATCTACTTCTGCACAGGTTGCTTTTGTTACTAATAATTATACACCAACTAACGGTCCCCCAACAATAGAACCCTTAAGTTTTTGGCCATATTTTAATAACATGTACGTTGGTGTGGCTGCTTCTCTAAACGGAGGAAACGCACTGGTTTTCTTCGTTGACATGTTGGAAGCCTGGTTCTCAGATTTGGGGGTAAATTTAAATAAGAATACTTTGTGGGATACACTTATTAGAGTTGGTATAAACAACATATCAGATCCGACGTTAGATATCAAACCAACATGTTTAGGAGAAAGATTCGATCCTAACTTAACGGCTTCTGTTACGAATATAACCGGTTTAAACCTATCCCTAGGAGAAGTTTTTAAAGCACTATGTAGAGGACTTGTAGATAATCTCCATAGTCAGCTATCATCGACGACACTCAAGAAATCAAAGTGCAATAGATTGGTTGGCACTGGATTAGCTTTAGACCAAAATATGCTGCTCAGAAATGAAGTGGAAAGAGTATATCAATTACCATTAGTTTGCAAACGTGTAGGTGATGCTAGTAAAGGTGCAGCTCTGGCGCTTTACATTTATGGTGAACCTGAAACACTCAAAAGTCCTAAAAGAAAAATTTCTTTGACGAATTCAATGAATAATGATCTTAATGAAGTAGCAATGACATCTATTGCAAATGACACTACATATTATTCAATGGATGGTACTACATATTATTCAATGGATGGTACTGCCCAATTTTCAAAACCATTCTCAGAAGATAATGACGTAGTAATAACAAGTACACCAAGACATAGTGATTCAGCAAGAACGGAATTACCAAGTTTTTCACCTATAGCGCGTAGAAGAACTGAAAAATTAGATCCAGATTCATGTTCAATAGGAACTGGTAGTTTAAAATGTGATATAACAAAGCCATGTCAATGTCCAGCTACTTGTAAATGCAACAGTAAAAATACTAAAAATTATCTAATCATTTTATTGAGTGACCCAGATACGGACATTAGTACAAATAACGCAAAATATCCGGTTGACCATTTTTCTGAAGTTTCCGGAACATTGCCAGCACATTCTAAGGATTTACAAATAAGATTTTCAAAAAACAAAACAGATGGTAATTCGCAATTTTCTTCAAAACCTAACGGTTTAACAATAGATTCAGACTACTATAATTACTACCATAATTCGATTGATGACGCTTCTCAATTTTCTCAATCTTCACCTCCTACTACTAACGAATTACCAATTTTATCCGCAAAAAATAAAACTAACCGTTATACGGTTGAATCACCCTCTTTTCGAAGACATAATGATTTACCAATAGAACTACAAACATTTTCTATGGATGGTGCCTCTCAATTTTCACGCTCATATTCACCAATCACTAGTGATTCGCCAACATCGAGAACAAGATCCGTTCCTTTTCAAAAAGAAGATAAGCTAAAAAATGTTAATACACAAAAAAGCAAACCAAGATCAGGTATTTCTTCAGGTCTATCTCCACTCCCTAGTTCGGCACCAATGAAAACTTCACCCGATTATAAAGATTTTGGAAAACCACATACAACTTCACCAAATCCAGATCCAGCCTCTACTTCAACACCACGTAGATCATTTGGACAATCATCAGATTCTGTTTCAAGACCATCCACGTTAAAAAAGAACAACACTAATAGTAACTCAGATGAGGATTATACCAAATTTTTACTTTTGCAGAAGTCACCACGAAATAGTGAATTACAAACAGAATCAAAAAAGTACAATACGTTTTCGATTGATGGTAATTCTCAATTTTCACACATATCTACACAAACGACAGGTGAGTTCACAACAACAATAACAACACCTTTTCATTTTCATGAAAATAAAAATATAAGAAATGGTAAAATACAAGAAGGTATAGTACGTAGATCAAACTTCCCTTCAGAATCAGCTGCAGTAAAGACTAATGATTTATCATCACGACACACCAGAAATTTACCAAAAACTAGTGATGTATCGCAAGGTTACAAAAAGTACAAATATTACAATTCTCAATACCAGCAAACAACTGATTCACAAAAATATAGTGAATTGCCAAATGAGCCTAAAAAGTACAAAACGTTTTCTATGGATGACGCTTCTAACTTTTCACACATATCTACGCAAACAACTAGTGACTCGGTAACATCGAAAATGAAACCATTTCAATTATCAGAAGAAGATCAAAGAGATGAAATACAAAAACACAAACCAACATCAGATCTCTCTTCGGGCATATCTCCACACTCGACTTCAGCACCAATGAAAACCAGTGATTTACCAAGAACACAAACTAATAATATACCTAAATCGTTTACTAAAAATAAAACTAACAATTTGTCGGTTGATTCTGGTAAATATAAATATTTTAAAAATTCGTTTGATAGTGATTATGAATATTCTGAATCATCACCTCCTCAAAAAACTAATGATTTGCCAACGACATCAAAATTGAAAACTAGCGATAAAATAGAATATTTATGGACACCACGTCAACAATCAGCAAAAACAGTCACCAGATCAGTTCAAATATCACCTCAAGATTTAAAAAGATCAGGTGCAAGATCATTTCCAATATCATCTTCACAATCAACTTCACCTGAATATAACAACTTGAGACAACTAGATAAAAATTTATTCAATGATAATAAAGCTCCTACAACAGATGTATCCTCTAGATATTATTCAGATTCTGAGTCAGTTACAACATCAACCCATTTAAAAGATATTTATTTGCCATCAGCATCAACAAAAAATAACACCAATTACCATATAGAGGAAGAGGATTCTCTATTTATATCAACTAGATCTCCGCCAACTGGTGGTGAATTTGAAACAAATATTAGTAATCGTGACTTAGACGATGACTATTCTAAGTTTTTACTTTTGCAGAAGTCTACTTCGCCAGAAGACAGTGATTTATCAATAGAACCGAGAAAGTATAAAACTTTTTCGATCGATGACTCTTCTGAATTTTCACATGTATCTACACAAACAACTAGTAACTTAGCAGACTCTATAGCACCACCTACTCATTTTCAAGAAGATAAATTAAAAAGTAGTTACACAAAAAATACAACTTTACCAAAATCTACTCAAACAACAAAATTAGCATCTGGAATCACATCTTATCAAATTCCTAGATCACGAGACTTACCAATAACAACAAACAATAATGGAAAATATACAGAAGAAGGGTCATCAAAAATTACAGAGACAGAAAATAGTTCTACAAAGTACAAAAATTTTTCTCAAATTTCACTTACATCATCGTCATCACAAAATAGTGACTTGCAAATATCGAAAACAATACCAAAAAAAGATAAAACAAGAAATGATGATATATTGGAATATAAAGAAACATCATCACCAACATCTAATGATATACCATTAAATTCTGAAAAGTATAAAGCATACAATGAAACTGCTGAGATATCTATAGAGTCTAGTAATATACACGAATATTTACCAACACCAACTGTAGAACCACCATCAGTTGAAAGATCAGCTGCAATAAAATATAATTTACCAGCTACAAATGACGAAATTTCTTATTTACCACTCCCACCAACATCTGCTTCGCCAGAAAAATCAGTGCCAATTAAACAAAGTGATTCAGATGGAAAATTTAAATCATTTGTAAACACAAAACCAAAGTATTTATCAACAGCAACTTCAATATCAGATCTAGTTCCGAATACACCATCAAACCTAAGATTAGCTACAATAAAAAATGGCAAACCAAAAGATTCAGAAGGATCTCGTAAAACGAATAACCTAGATGTATCTCCATATCAGTCATCAGCTTTTCCATTAACATCAAAAGATAGTGATGTGAAAGGACCTCCAACGCCAATAATGAGTGGTATATTGGTAGATACTATACCAACGCATTTAATAGAATCGACTTTAATTAGTGATTTAACAGCAATAAATCGAGCAACATCCGACTTATCATTAGATGATTTTTGGGAAAGTCCGCCCACACCAATAATGAGTAATATATTAATACCGACTATACCAAACTATTTATCATCAAATGCAATAACTGAAAATAAAATTAGTACATTTTCAACCATTATTAGACCAATATCAACTCTATTTTCCACTTTAACATCACCTCCAACTCCTACAGAAGAACATGATACTGAAAAATTTTCTACACCTGAAATATTAGTAACTCCATCAATCTCAGAAAATTTATCAGCTACAGTATCAGGTTCAGCTTTGGGTAAAAAATCAGTGCAAACAGGAAAAACAGTTTCAACTTCAACTCTAGAACCAACACTAAGAACACTTTCTAGGTCTGTTTCGGAAGAAAGCGTTCCGGAACAACCAGGTACCCCTGTAATAAGTAATATTTTGGTACCAAATATACCTAGATATTTTCAATCTACAATTTCAGTATCGAGTTCAAAATCAGCTAGAAGATCAGCCGCATCATTACCGAAGTCCGATCAAAAGTAATCTATATTGTAACCTATAAATTTGTAATTGTAATTAAAAATATAAAATAATAAATGTTTGTTTTAACATATAAAGTACAAAAATGTTGGACAATAACTTTAAATATTTTCTATTGTTTCAATCGGATAAAATTAATTGAAATGGTTAAACTTCTCAAAATAAAATAATATGTGATTGGGTTCATAAAATTTTAACATTAGTAGGTCATAGTGCTATCTATACTGAGGTGCCTGTCGTCTTAAACTTAAATATATTCTTTTCAATTTGTGCAAAATCAGCAAAATATTAAAAGAAATGCATAGCTTACTTCATTTGTTTTTAATCAGCTCAGCTATTATTAATTAATAATAATTAGTAAATTAATTATAATTTCCTAATTGGTTTCCTATAAATAAATGCAAGATAAATAATTGTAAGAATGATAGTGATATGCTTGATTATTTGTATTTTTTCATTCAACTTTTTTGGCCAAAAGATCATTTTTTTGTTGTATACAGGGTACACAAATAATGAGGCAGCTTTCTCGAAGTATTTGGAAAATTCAATATTTTCACTACTTTTTTGATATGTATATTATGTATTTTACGCACAAACTACAGAACGAAAAAGTAGACCATTGTGTGCTACTGAACGAATATATTTATCCATTCTATTAAGAACACTGTATTGATATAAAATACACCAATCACAGTTCAAATTTAGTCACCAGGTTACTATTACTATTTTAAATTCTGTTAAACTAATTGTCAGTAGATTTTTTAGTTATTGAGATCAAATATAATTTCAAATGAGTGATTCTTGTGAAGAATCGATAAATAATGGCACTTCAGAAGATATTCTTTCATATTTTCAAATAAATTTAAAAACAGTTTATGATTATTAAAAAAAAAAACATGTGTATGGAACCAGAAGATTTATGGCTTCACTTTTATGTTTGCATAAACTATTTGATAATCTTATTTTTTGTCTAAAATTTATTTCAGTGTTCCATAATTTCATTTAACAAGAGGTTTCATAAAAACAGATACAGAATAATTGACCTTTTAAAATCATTTATGTACAAGTACTATTTTTGTTTGTTTGTTAGTTTTGATATAAAATTTACTTAGCCATAAATTTAATTTGTAGTTTGAACTAGTTTTTAGTCTTTATACTTTTATAATAGATTATTAAATTCATGTTACTTATTCTCTTATAAAACAAGTGTTGTATGACACGTCACAAGTATTTTTATTCATCTCTTATTTAATACATTAAATGAAAAGGTACAGCTTGTAATTTATGATTAATTTTGTACTTTTTAATAATTATTTTTATTATTCTTATGTTTACTAGTCATTGTGTACAGTTACATTTTGTAATGAGCGATTGCACATTGACAATTTATTTTTATATTTTTTTATATTATTCTGTAATGGAGTAGTTGAATTTATTGATAAAAGAGGCCATTATTCCTCAAAAAATATCTTCTAACCCAATTAGTTTGAGTCAAAATCGTCAATTTTTGCCCAAAGCATGTCAAGAGGTACCTAAAACTCAAATCACTTGCGAAAATAAATAAACAGGCGATTATCTTTAACGTTTATAAAACTATGAGATGCCGATGGATTCTTGGAAGGTCTAAGACTAAATCACGAAACGTCTGCATTGCCACTTCTATTCGGCCGAAAGGAAGAAAACAATTCATTAACCACTTTAGCCTTTAGATTTTTTGAAAAGACCTGTCTCAGATTTAACGGTTTTTTGGGGCTTCGAAACTTTCCACTGAATATTTTGTTTTTGAAAACGAAATAATATGTGTGCGTATATAGTGGTTTAAATCGGAAAGGGGTAAAGCGTTAAAGCAACCCTTGAAATTAATACTATTACATTATTTAACATGTCTAATGAATTTTAAACGATCTATTGTTATTTTAATTGATATCTAGGAGGTTCTTGTGTAATAAGAAAAAGGAAGAGGGAATTATAATAGATTTACAGTCGGGATATTAGACTAGTACAGATGATGGAAGAACACATTTTTCGATGTTTATAACTTGAAAGAAAGCATATATATGGACCGAAGAAAATGGCAATCCATATAATACATGAATTTTCGGAATTTAAAAATATAGAAACGTAGAAAAATTTGAAAAAAATATTTTTGTGTCTATAATAGTATAATTTCTATTTTAAACCTACCGCACTGTAAATGTACTTACTCACCATCGTCTACAACAATCGGAAATATTTTTTTCTGGTTGAAAAACGGCGACAATTTCCGTCAGCAAATTCTTCCGAGAACAGAATAAGTAAACATCCACATTCACAAACATTCATTAATAGTTGGCTATAACAATATATGTATAGGGACATTGCAATTCTGTTATACATGGTACCTACATAGTATAATGCGTTTCTAGCCAATTTAAATGTAGTTACTATGTTTCTTTTCTTCTTCAGTTGAATGTATCTTCTTTTCCTCTCTTTATTAATAAATAATCATGGTCCCTTTACTTCAGTCTGGGATGCATGCATATTAATACTAAGAGACGAAACAACTAAGTGGCATTAAGTTATAATTAATAACTTTATTTCCACAATAAATATAAATTACACAAAATATATATATTTAATATATTTAATATATTTAATATATTTAATATATTTAATATATTTAATATATTTAATATATTTAATATATTTAATATATTTAATATATTTAATATATTTAATATATTTAATATATTTAATATATTTAATATATTTAATATATTTAATATATTTAATATATTTAATATATTTAATATATTTAATATATTTAATATATTTAATATATTTAATATATTTAATATATTTAATATATTTAATATATTTAATATATTTAATATATTTAATATATTTAATATATTTAATATATTTAATATATTTAATATATTTAATATATTTAATATATTTAATATATTTAATATATTTAATATATTTAATATATTTAATATATTTAATATATTTAATATATTTAATATATTTAATATATTTAATATATTTAATATATTTAATATATTTAATATATTTAATATATTTAATATATTTAATATATTTAATATATTTAATATATTTAATATATTTAATATATTTAATATATTTAATATATTTAATATATTTAATATATTTAATATATTTAATATATTTAATATATTTAATATATTTAATATATTTAATATATTTAATATATTTAATATATTTAATATATTTAATATATTTAATATATTTAATATATTTAATATATTTAATATATTTAATATATTTAATATATTTAATATATTTAATATATTTAATATATTTAATATATTTAATATATTTAATATATTTAATATATTTAATATATTTAATATATTTAATATATTTAATATATTTAATATATTTAATATATTTAATATATTTAATATATTTAATATATTTAATATATTTAATATATTTAATATATTTAATATATTTAATATATTTAATATATTTAATATATTTAATATATTTAATATATTTAATATATTTAATATATTTAATATATTTAATATATTTAATATATTTAATATATTTAATATATTTAATATATTTAATATATTTAATATATTTAATATATTTAATATATTTAATATATTTAATATATTTAATATATTTAATATATTTAATATATTTAATATATTTAATATATTTAATATATTTAATATATTTAATATATTTAATATATTTAATATATTTAATATATTTAATATATTTAATATATTTAATATATTTAATATATTTAATATATTTAATATATTTAATATATTTAATATATTTAATATATTTAATATATTTAATATATTTAATATATTTAATATATTTAATATATTTAATATATTTAATATATTTAATATATTTAATATATTTAATATATTTAATATATTTAATATATTTAATATATTTAATATCTATGTTTTACTGATCTACTGATCTAGTGATCTTTTATTAGTGTAGTTAACCTGATCTGTTATAGTTTCGTTATAGTTTCGTTATAGTTTCGTTATAGTTTCGTTATAGTTTAGTTTCGTTATAGTTTAGTTTCGTTATAGTTTCGTTATAGTTTCGTTATAGTTTCGTTATAGTTTCGTTATAGTTTCGTTATAGTTTCGTTATAGTTTCGTTATAGTTTCGTTATAGTTTCGTTATAGTTTCGTTATAGTTTCGTTATAGTTTCGTTATAGTTTCGTTATAGTTTCGTTATAGTTTTGTTATAGTTTCGTTATAGTTTCGTTATAGTTTCGTTATAGTTTCGTTATAGTTTCGTGATAGTTTCGATATAGTTTCGTTATAGTTTCGTTATAGTTTCGTTATAGTTTCGTTATAGTTTCGTTATAGTTTCGTTATAGTTTCGTTATAGTTTCGTTATAGTTTCGTTATAGTTTCGTTATAGTTTCGTTATAGTTTCGTTATAGTTTCGTTATAGTTTCGTTATAGTTTCGTTATAGTTTCGTTATAGTTTCGTTATAGTTTCGTTATAGTTTCGTTATAGTTTCGTTATAGTTTCGTTATAGTTTCGTTATAGTTTCGTTATAGTTTCGTTATAGTTTCGTTATAGTTTCGTTATAGTTTCGTTATAGTTTCGTTATAGTTTCGTTATAGTTTCGTTATAGTTTCGTTATAGTTTCGTTATAGTTTCGTTATAGTTTCGTTATAGTTTCGTTATAGTTTCGTTATAGTTTCGTTATAGTTTCGTTATAGTTTCGTTATAGTTTCGATATAGTTTCGTTATAGTTTCGTTATAGTTTCGTTATAGTTTCGTTATAGTTTCGTTATAGTTTCGTTATAGTTTCGTTATAGTTTCGTTATAGCTTCGTTATAGCTTCGTTATAGTTTCGTTATAGTTTCGTTATAGTTTCGTTATAGTTTCGTTATAGTTTCGTTATAGTTTCGTTATAGTTTCGTTATAGTTTCGTTATAGTTTCGTTATAGTTTTGTTATATTTTCGTTATAGTTTCATTTATTGCGCCATTTTTTATCCAATCGTAGATTTTATTAGTTGCCTGTTGAAGTTT